GTTATAATTCAATATCTAATGAAACTAACTATCTAATTGCTTCTGGTGTGGCTGTGGTGAGATTATCCCAGGTACCTTGAAATTTCCTGAGGAGATATTCCTGAACTTTATGTCTTATAGTTTGTTCCGATGCACCACAGTGGCATTGTGGGCTCTTGGCCATTCTCCACTTAAAGACCTTTGCCTTAGTTCTAGTATGGCTTGTCCTGATTCTATTCAGGTGGCTCCATATTTTTCAGGGCAAATACATTCCTGGAAGTGGTTTTGTTGCATCTGTGTAATTTGTTTGGTTGTGGTTATTAAAAGTTCCCCATGTTATGATGGAGTATAAAGTATAGCCTGGGCAATGTATAGATGTATAGTATAGGTGGTATACCCCAGGCAATATTCTGTCTTAACAGAGTGGGTAAATGTACACACGTCGACCAAACTGGATATTGTATGCCTTACAGTCAAAAACTATAAAGACAGCAGTTAGACCTGTAGTATCAGGACATGCAGATGTGAGATTGAGGAGGCTGGTCTGAAAGAAGTCTAGATAGGGTGAGAAAGGACATTTTGGTCAGGAAAGAAGGAAGGAGGTCTGTGTGAGCCTTCAGATAAGCTTTCTTCTTCCTTTTGGAAGGTGCCAGTGTAACTTTTTGAGATTGGTTACAAGGGCAGCCAATATTGCTGTAACCTGAAACTCCCAAACCAAAATCCCATGGATATGGATGAGGGGAAAAGAGAAGGAAAACAGAGAAAGCTGAATCAGTGTATGAAAAGAAAATGTTTGTTTATATGTGAGTGTGCAGATAGGACCGCCTATAAAGGTTTCATGAGTCCATATGTTAACAGTTATTCTTCTTCCCCCTTTTATTTCCTCTTTAATTACATGCTTTCTTGAGGTAATACCATTATATTTCTGTAGAATGCATTGCATTTCTCAGACATTCTGGAGACATAAGTGAATTCTATTATGACTAAAGTACAGCATCACAGAATGGGGAAGAAGCAAATATTTATCTTGCATTCTATATACATAGAAAGTTGAAAGAGAGATTCAGTGTTGATCTTTAGAATATTTCTGCCTTTTCAAGGCCAAAGTAGGTCAAAGTAGATACAGTGATAACAATACAGTCTAGATTGGGTTTGGTTAAGAAGTCCAGGCTACTTCTACATTCTCTCATTATGTTCCTGATGCAGTTACAATATTAAATATTGTAGTTACAATATTGCAGTTGCAATATTAAACAGAAAGCAGATACAAAGGCATCTGTTTACTTTCTATGGAAATATAGTGGCTATTACCCCAAGAAAAGATGACAAACACACACACACACACATGGAGTTGTAACTTGGTACTCAACTGCTTTGAAACTCATCAAATTTGGTACTCAACACATTTGACATGAAAAGTTTGTCCTGGTACTCATTGTTTGTTTGGTAGTCAATGCACAAACTAGAACTTGTCAATATCAGCTGCCTTGTGACTCACTCTATTATTCCTTATGTGCAAATTTGTTTGGCACTTATTGTTTTTGGTACTCATCGCTCCTCACAGAACCAATTAAGGATCAGTACCAAAGTACTCTGTGTGTGTGTGTGTGTGTGTGTGTGTGTGTGTGTGCGCACACACACACACACATTCTTCTGTTGTGATCCTTGTAACTAAACCATTTTAGTCCTTCAGTAATTCCTCACAAAAGAGACAGTATATCTTTATTATCTTGTCTAGATGAGTCTTCCATATCTCAATGCCTTTCAGATCTACCTGACTTGATTTCCCATAATTCCCACCTAACAGAAAGGATCTGAATTTATTCACACTCACCAGGTGATCTAATTCAAATTTTACCATTATTGATTCTCCAAGTGGGATTTTAGCTACATCAAAGTAAATTACACGGTTGTCGTCATTTCGATAGAAATCTTCATCACATATTGTCAGTTCCAAAACATTCTGAAGACAGAAATGAATTCTGATATGACTAAAGTACAGCATCACAGAATGGGGAAAAGGCAAATGTTTATCTTGTTCTGCCTTAGGTGGCAAAATACTGTGAGCCCAATCATACACTCACTCAGAGAAGTGAGAGTAACAATATAATATATATATATAAAATCATGAGTTCCTTTTCTTCTTCCCCAGGGCCCCATATCCTAGTCCAAAGAGAATATCAAATTTTAGATCCTAGAAATTTACCTAGAAATCTGAAATATGGGAGCTTTGTGAAAAAATATTTGCACAACCAATTTCTTCAAGTTTTTTGGCTGATCCTCTAATCCTTTAACCAGTATAATAAGAGCTGACTGGTGGATATGGGTGTGGAAGTCCAACACTGAAAATGGCAAATAGGAAGATATAAGGTGGGAAAATGGTAAGAAAATGCCATCCTCTAGCAATGCCCTTCCAAAGGAAATTAGTATGGGGTAAATACTGTGAGCCCAAATTGTAGACTTGTACTCAGACTAGTGAGAGTAGCAAAATAATATATATAAAATCAAAGAACAAGCTTGCTATACTGCACAGTGGAAACAACATACTTTGTAAAAGCTCATTGGATTGGAAAGATTACCTGGACATTGACTACTTATGTAATGTAAAATAAATGAGACTGAGAAGAAAGAATTGGATGAGAAATAATGATAAGGTAGAACAACAATAAACAAATATTATTATTCTGGTTCATTTAGAAGGGCAGAAATATTGACATCTTTCATCTTACCTTGACTTGACTCTGGATCCTGAAATAGAATATTTCATTCCATATTGGATTTTTGCAGTTTGTAACAGTTTTGGTTCGAAATTTTTCCAGTGAGGAAGTAGGAAGCCACAAGGTCACATAGCAATCAGATTCAGTGACTGAAGAATGAAAAATGAGTTACGGTCAGAAATGATTATCATTCCAGCATAGACAGACCATTTATCTTAATCTTAAAGTGAGATAAATCTCAAATAGCAGATTCAAAATCTTCAGGGATTTTAGGAGGACTGTATTTCATATTTCCCCAGAACTTGGATCCTGAAATGGTTATAGCAGGGGTCTTCAAACTTGGCCCTTTTATGACTTGTGGACTTCAACTCCCAAAATTCCTCAGCCAGAGTGGAGAGAGTGGGTTCAATTTCCAGGGTGAAGCAGATTCTGATTCAGTCAAATTATGGTGGAAATTTAATTTTTGGGAGTTTCAGAATGCTGCATTTTATTTCATTTCTATATAAAATGTTACAATGAGTAAGAATATATTTAATATCAATTAAGTCTGCTGTGATTCTGTTTTGTTATAATAATTTTATTAAATATGACAATTAAAAAGATAAAAAGTAATACAAACTAAAAATCAAAAGAATAAAAAGAACAAAAAATAAGTGCAGAAGAGAACAAATAAAAATATAAAAAAGAAAAGAAATAAAAAATAAGAATATAAATATAAGATAAATATAAATTAAAAAATATAAATAAATGATTTCCCCCTTCATCACAAGTATAAACAATTTTGATAACTTATCACTTTATCTTAAAATACAAAAAATATTATCTTCTTCCCCATATCTCATCTCTTATCTATAAACAAAGCAAGAAAGCTTTATCATTTAATCTTGATAAACAAAAGCCCATTAAAGGTCACCATACTTGTTTTAACTTTGATCAGATAAACCAGTGATGGCGAACCTTTTAGAGACCGAGTGCCCAAACTGCAACCCAAAACCCACTTATTTATCGCTGGGTGCCAGGTGGGCGTGGCCCTTGGGTGGGCGTGGCTGTGGTCATGGCAGACTGGTTGGGTGTGGCCAAGGTGGGCGTGGTCACCTCAATGTTGCTCATGGGGAGGATGCCTGTAGGGGCCGGGCAGGGTTAGGGAAGATCCAGGGGGTCTCTGGCAAGTGGGGCGGTGGGCAGGAGGCTCGTCCTGCGGGGTGAGGTGAGGCAAGGTAAGATAGGGTGGGGGTGCCATTGTCGCAGGGCAAGGCAAGGCAGGGTCCGGGGTGGCTGCTGCCTGACACCATCGGCCCCCGCACACAGAGGCCAGCGAGCGTATGAGGTCCCCTTGACCGGCACACTCTGGGGCTCTGCAGCCCACCACCAGCCTTTCAGTGAAGCCACCTCTGAGCTGGACGGCCGGCCGACAGCTGAGGAGGCGATGCAGTGGGTCGTACCCGGGAAAAGGAGAGCATGTGAGGCCAGGAGGGATGGGACGGGGGGAGGGAAACCAGCCACGCTGGGATGCATCCGACCACGTGGGACCTCGGTGAGTTAGCAGCGGCTGGTTGAAGAGGGACAGTTGCCATCTCCGGGGCATGGTGCGCGTGCCCACAGAGAGGGCTCTGAGTGCCGCCTCTGGCACCCGTGCCATAGGTTCGCCACCACTGAGATAAACCATCTTTATATTCTCTTGTAACAGCCTTGAACTTTAATCCCTTGCAATAAAGTCCTAAAAATTGATTTCTTTTCTTTTTTTCCTTTGTTGCTACTCATAAAATCCTTCCAACATTTGACAAATTTCTTTAGTAAACCTAATATAAAAAAGTTATCCAAGTTACTGTTTTGATTTGTACATTCCTTTTAATTATTAAAACATCAGTCAGTTTTATTTGTATATCTTGTACAGGATCTTTTCCCATATCATTCTTGTAGCCTTTCATCTTTAATTTCATTGTCAAATCACTCTCAGTCTTATCTAGTAAAATCTGTTCCTGTTCCATCTATAATGGCAGACACTCTTAAAATTTACTTCTGGTTCCATTGATCACAAATATCCTTCAATATATCCAATATTAAGCTAATTTTTTTGCATTCCGTATTAGTAGATCAAATTTAATTTAAATTTAATTTTTATTATTTATTTATTATTTTTATTATTATTAAATTAAAACTTTCCAAAATCAATATTCTAATCACCCTTTTGCTGTTTATACAAAAAAAGTGTTGGAACATAGCATAAGTCACTCCATTTTGTAACCTTCAGTTTGCTTAATCCTACACTTCTTCATTCTTACGTGTTAGGCTGCAATCTGCAGCTGCAAACACGTAAAGGACAGAGAACAAAGGGACATGTCAAGAAAGCTGTTTATGCAAGCTATAATATTATCACCTCCTGATAAGACCTTCCAATGTGAACCATAATTGCAACTTTACTGTGAACCGTTAGTCGCTTATGCCATGTATTAGATAAGATACATTCTGTAAAACTTTCGCTGTCTCTAACCTCCAAAACTCCCCGTTTGCCTCCCCCGGTTCACCCCCCTGCTTGTAGCTTCTGCCTGCAATTTGCTTTGTTATGATTGCTAATAAAAAGAGGTCCCCAGAGACTGTTCTGGGCTCGATCTCATCCCGAGGAAACCTGGTGTGGTGTCTTCATATAACAACTAATGAATCGGCCCCTGGACGAGGTCAGAAACCAAGCCGGGAGACTCAGGTCCCAGTTTTTCTACAACTTTCTTAAAGTTGTATTTAAAACTTTTTCTGATAAGGATTGAAGAACATTCACTTGGTGTTCTAAAAGTTGACAATCCAAAGGTTTCTAATAGCTGAAAAACAATTAAGAAGCCATTTCTGAAAGTGACTAAGAAATGAGACACAGGGAACCTTTTGTCCATATAAATTCCATTATGACTGTGAGATTGATTGAAATCCCTCAATTCTTAGTTACTCAACTTACAAACCAACCATAAAAATATCAGTTCCTGTATATGCACAAGACGCAGTTGTCCAAAGTACAAGTGGGTAATTTCTTTTTTTTTAAAGAAAATTTTATTGATTTTCTAGTTTTACATTTAAATATTTGAAAAGCAATGTGGCGGCTGAGTTAATCGATAATTCAATAACATACAAGTATCTTTAGTGCAGATTTCAAACTATTACATTAAATATTTCCTCTCTTTTCCCCTTAGTATTTACTGTCTCATATTTAAAATAATACAATTCTTATTATATCGATTAAATAAAAAAAAAACTTTCTTACATTTGTCAATAATTTTTAGTTTATACATATCCTAGTTATTTTAACATTCAATCTTTGTAGACAATCAATGCCCTAATTAGTTTTTCCCAGTTTTTAGTTTCCCATTAATATTTAAACTTAATATTTAATATTTATAATTTCCAAGTTTTAAATAACAGAAGTAAAATCCACTTTACCAGAAGTGGACAAATAGAGGCTGGACACCTGTTGGGGATGCTCTAATTTGATTCCTGTTCTAAAGCAGGGAGTTGATCTTGATGACCTTAATGACCTGCTTATATTCAGTTTATTACTTGTAAACAAATGGTTCTTGAAGGGAAGTGAAAAGTTCTCTGCAAATGATTGAAAAAAGTCTGTGTAAATGTCCTCTCCAGTATACAGAAGCGGCAAAGACATGAATGTAACATGGTCTTTCCACAGCAAACCCATATACATTCCCTGCACACTTAATGCATGAATGTTTTAGCTTAGTTGATTTTAAGATGCTGCTGAGATTATTACAAAAGAAATTGAATAACATCTGTAATAGCGAGAATATAAACAGTAAACAAGCTTGTTGGACTTGATTGTTCAGATCCAAAAAATATGGGAGTTTATACGGCCAGAGAATATGTAGATCTGTGGTGAGGCCTACTAAGTTGCCCACAATATATCTAAGTCATTTGTGGCAAGAAATAAACTACCTGTCCTCTTCCCAAAGAAATAATGTTTAATTCCTGATTTAGCCAAGATATTTTTTTCAAGGTAGCTACTTCAATTTGCCATTAGATCAAAACACATTTTTTTTATATGAAGCATTGATGCTACATTAGCCTTTTCAGAGATGTAAACTTATAAATTATCTTATATATCTTGAAATAAGACCTGATTCCTTTCAACTATTGTGTATTTCCATTGCCTTCAAGGCTGTACGCCATGTTGACTATGGCTGAAAGGAGATGATTGGAAGTGGCTGAGAGAGATGGAAGGTGAGAGGTCATGCTGGGAAGATTGGGTAAAATTGAACCGATGAAAATACACACTAGCAGCTATTGAGGGGTGAAAAAGAGAGAGGATCAACATGCAATAACCTTGCCCTTCTTGCTTTGTAGAGATGTGGTTCCAGCTAAACCCCAAAACAACCAAAAATAAACTGGTTTCACTTTTACTAAATCTAAAATTGTTTCAGAAACCTTCAGATCATAGCAATTTATTCTGGGTTTAAAAAAAAAAAACATTTTTCATTTTGGAGACATTCCTAGTTCTAGTTAACAGTTTTGCTGCTTTTTCTCAACACTCTAATGCTGACCTATAGAAAATAGGGGGGGGGGGAACAAAAAACAAAAAGATCAGGGCTGAGTCATCAGAAGTTGCTTCTGTATTCAGTAGAAAAATGCTGGTATGGGCACATGCTTGGGGAAATGATTCACAAGGATGAAATGTAATTAGGAAAGAAATTTTTATAAGCCTCTTGGAAATATTGAAAACAAAGTTGGATATGTGCATGTGAAAGTTAGCATAAAAGACTTGCTTCTCTTGTCATCATTTGGACTATTGCTAATCCTGTTTCTCTTCATCAGGACTGTGAATGTTTATATGGATGCTCAGCAGTGCTTTTTTTCTAAAAAAAAAAAAAAAAAAGGTGCCGGAACTCACACACATCATACAACCCGCCTTGCCTACCCTACAAGGTTCCATCCAAAAAAGGTGCTGGGACTCCATTCTGGGCGTTCTATGAGAAAAAAAGCCCTGATGCTCACAGAAAAATATCACTATGATTCATGTCATATAATACCTCAGTGTTATTGTTAAATGGTGAGTATTTTTGTGAAGATCAAGAATTTCAAATGGGAAATAATCCAACCAGAAAACTGTGGATTAATATTAATCAGACCAGGAATGAGTATTTTCCAGGTGCAAATT